TTTAACCAGTCAGATAGATGATATTTTATTTTTTATTTTTATTTTTTTTGCTTTTTTGGGTCATACCTGGTGATTCTCAGGGGTTACTCCTGGCTCTGCACTCAGGAATCACCCCGACGGTGCTCAGGGGACCACATGGGATGCTGGGAATCGAACCCAGGTCATCCGCGTGCAAGGCAAATGCCCTACCTGCTGTGCTATCTCTCCAGCCCGATAGATGACTTTTTAAAGCTTTCAAGTGAGCAAAGCTTTAGTGTGGTATAAATGAATCTGATCTTTTTGTTTGTTACATCTTTGTAGTATCATATGTTGGCAAAAGTTAAAAATCCAACCTTATGTTTAAAGAATCTTTAAATTTTAAGTTCCTACAATGAATTGCCCTTAGAAGGAACTTTGAGGGAAAAGACAAAGAAAAGAATTATTTTTAAAGAATCAGGAAATTACGTTTTCCAAGCTTTGATGCCTTGAGATATGCTCTCCTCCATTATACTTGCTAGACCTAATATCCATCACAACTTGTAACTTCATAGCTTTATCCAGGCACAGTCATTCAAATATGGAAATCTGATAGATATGCCATTGAAGAAGCAAAAGTCTCAGCAGCTGGATTCCATATCATACTTTCTGCTCCTTGGTATTTAGATGGGATCAGTTACGGAGAAGACTGGAAAAAATATTATTTAGTAGAACCTCTTGACTTTCCTGGTAAGTGAAACATTTCTTTGCCTTGGTTTGTTAGTCTTCTCTCTACTACCACCCCCTACTACCATCATCATGAAATATTTACTGAAGTGTTACCTAATTACTGTCACTTACTTTGATCTTTGATTCATGTGTGTGCTTAGGGGAAAAAGCCTTCAAGTAATGTTAAGCACTAATAGAAAACATATTCTTAAATAAAAGAATTTTCTACGCCTAGCATCATGGAGAAATCTAGTTCAACAGGCAAATGGAGCTGTTGTTAAACCAACTTGACAGGACAGGAATCCTCCCTGAGGCCATCACTGATATATACTGGTGACCATCAGAACCTCGGGTGACAACTACCAACTCCTTTCAACCCCAGAAGTTGTAGAGAGCGTTCTGGTAAAGATTGGAAGAATAAACAATATGCTAGGTTCTGCTTACCCCTCTTTTTATATTTGCTTCAGGTTTGAGGTTAGATGATTCATGTGAGAATTTTCTGACTTATATATATGTGAACTTGTATTGCTATGCATTTCCCTCCTAACAATTTTTTCTGCATCCTCTCAAGCCTCATTGTTCATTTCTTCATTTTCATTGTTCACTAGATAATTGGTGCAGGGTGAGTATGTGAAAATTTATTACTACTGTGATTATATCAACACTTATGATCTTGGTTTTTCTTTCTTGCTTTTGTATAAGGCCAAATGAGATGGTTTCGTTGACAGCCTTAAAGTGGACTCTGAGAATGTCACCAACAGCACATCCTTTGTGACCAAATCCGGCAACTAGAATTTCATGGTTTTCCTCAAGAAGATTTAAGCAAATTGTGTACAAAATCTGTGCTTTTCTTTCAATCATTCATAATCATCTGAACTTGAACACAGTTCCTAATAACAGAATTTGGCTGTTTGACCTCAATTCTAGCTTTTTTCAGCACAATTCCCTTTTGCTGGAAAGTACGTCCAAAAGGTCCTGTGCCTGAATGGACTGTTGCATACTGCTTCATGACACTTCTGATCTCATTGCTAGCTACTGATCTTTTCGGAAGTATGAAGACCGAGACACTTACCTTCAGCCCAGTCCTGCACAGCCTCCTGTACTCTGTAGATTTTTTTTTATCACCATACAATGTATCACTTAAACTGAATTGATTCCCCTCACTCCCTTTTGGTAACAGCCATTTTGTTCATAGAATTTAAAATTTTTACCTTTTTGCCTGTTCATTTGTTCAGCAACCACACAGAGCAAAACAATACATTTATCTTTGATATATTTTACTGAGCCTATAATCTGTAGTTCTATGCATGTTATCACAAATAACAGCATTTTATCTTTGCTGATAGTCAGCTAGTCTTGCATTGTGTATGTATAACACATCTCCTTTATTTCTGATATGTTTTAAGAGATGTTGGAATGCATTAAATTAAATTAAGATATGTTTTAAGAGATGTTGGAATGCATTAAATTAAATTAAGTTCCTCTTCTAAACTGTCTCTCCAATAAGACACTGAATTGTGTTTTAGTCCTGTTCAGTGGATTATAGGATATGTACATTTAAAGATCTGTAATCGAGGAAAAGATGGATAACAGTAGGGAATATCTTGATGGTGGAGTTTTAGGATCTCAGACCCCCTTCATTAAGAACATGTCTACTTTGTATTGTTTTGTACCAAAGTTTCCTCTGAAAAGAAAATTTAGCTGTTAAAAACTTTCTAAACTTTATATGGGTCATAAATTTACACAACTTTTTCTAACAATCAAAAAGTTATGGGGGCTGGAGAGATAGTACAGTGGGTAAGGCACATCCAGGCATCCCATATGGTCTACCAAGCATCACCAGGAATAGTTTCTGAATGCAGAGTGGGGAATAACCTCTGAGTATCACTGGGTGTGTCCCACCAAAAGTTTTAATGACTGTAAAAGAAAGGATTAAATACTTTAATTTCTGATGCCAAGAGATAGATGGTTAGAAGGGGTGTCATGAGTAGTTTGTATTCCCTGGATACACTGTTATTGGAGCTTAAGGGGGAAATGTTGATTTCCACATACATTTCCATAAGACAGAAGTAAAAGGGGATCTTCAGTACATAACCACCTCAGTCAAAATTTGCTAATAAGCACTGTATGAACCATAGTCTCTGGGGTGGGAATAAATTTCAGTACCTATTTTATTATGCTACTTCCATGAACATGACTCAAGATCCTGCTGACTCCAGGAGAGAATTGCTCAACAATGAAGATAGAAGCAATCACTGTTGCCTCTGTTTATAAATCTTGAGCTGTCACTAATTAACTAACAACAATTTAATGATTTTAATGTAGGTTCTCAGAAACAGAAACAGCTTGTCCTTGGTGGAGAAGCCTGTCTATGGGGAGAATATGTGGATGAAACTAACCTCACGCCAAGATTATGGTATGTGTATTGGGATGTTTGAATTTAGATATCTTTGTTTTTCTACCCAAGTCAGAAAACACTAGGAATTCTCCCAAGCATATGATTTAAATATTTTCTTAACAAAATATGAACTTAATTTTGTTTTTGGTTGGGGGAATTTTAGGCCCCGGGCAAGTGCGGTTGGTGAGAGACTATGGAGTCATCAAGAGGTTCGTGACCTGCAGGACGCCTATCACAGACTAACAATTCACCGCTGCAGAATGGTCAGGTAGGAAAATATGAGCATTTCAAGCTAAGACACTGTGAATGATTTTGAGAGATGGTTTTTTTTAACAGACTTCTTAAGTATTAGCAAACTTCTTGGACTTGGAGGATTTTGCTACTTATAGACAGTATGCCACCTAAGAGGTAGTGATTTAAATATTTGATATTGGTAAACATTTAATAGGTAGTAAATATCTCTGAAACATAGTAATTATATCAAAATTTACATATGATACATTTTATTGCTTTGGGGATCACATCCAACTATGCTCAGGGCTTACTTCTGGCTCTGTGCTGAGGGATCACTCCTGGCAAGGCTCAGTACCCGTATGTGGTTCTGGGGGTCTAACCTGGGTAGGCTGCATGCAAGGCAAGTGCCTTACCCTCCATGCCATCTCTCTCTCTCCCTGTAATAATACATTTTTATAAATCAATATTTAGAATTCCTCCCTGAATCTTTTTTAAATAATGCTATGTTTTATAAAAATAGTTATATCAATCTAAGACACTGCTTTTATTCATACTGGTTTCTTATATTCCATTAGACGTGGAATAGCTGCACAACCTATTTCTGTTGGATACTGTGAACGTGAGTTCAATATGTAAAAATGAAATAGAATGGAACTATAGGAGAGCAAAATACTCAGAGCAATCTCCACTACAATCAAATATAATCAATTTTATCTCAAAATCATGCAAACTACTTTTGAATAAAGCCTTATTGATTAAATCTCTTTTTGTGTTTCGTTTTGGTTTTGGGGCACACTATGGTGCTCTGGGCTTACTCCTTGGCTGTGCACTCAGGGATCACTCGTGCCAAGGCTCCTGGACCATATGCGGTTCTAGGGTCTATCCCAAGTAAGATTTGTGTAAGGCAAGAGCCCTACTACTGTACTATCAGCGTGGCCCTAAACTTCTAGCTTTTAATCCATTTCATATGTAGGTTTTAGTAGTCTTTTCTGGGAGGTGACAACAACAACCTTTTGCTATGTCCCTCAGTATATTTTCAAGGACTGAGTGTTTCGTAGAACTTCCCAAGAAGATGTTTGTGTGTGGGCGAAATGGGGTACTCCCAGAATTTGCTTTGCTTTTTCACTGTGACAGAGGCCAAGGGTGAGCCCAGTGAGGACTCTGAAGAAGAAGAATCTGATAAGCGCCGCCTTCCCAGGTTGGTGGGCAGCTCGGCTAGGTCCCAGAGTTCTACAGAGAACTTGGTGTTGAAACCAGCAGGAGGAGCGCTCTGCAGGCTGAGTACAGCTCGGCGGGAAGGGCGGAGTCTGCGCCGGGGGGGGCGGTCCCAGCGGGAGGAGGCGGGGCGGAGCCTGAGCTGGGGGCGGTCTCAGAGAAAGGAGGCAGGGCGGGACCTGCGCCGGGGGCGGTCCCAGTGGGAGGGGTGAGGGGCGGGGCCTGCTCCAGGGGCGGTCCCAGAGGGAGGGGCGGGGCGGGGCCTGCTCCAGGGGCGGTCCCAGCGGGAGGAGGCGGGGCGGAGCCTGAGCTGGGGGCGGTCTCAGAGAAAGGAGGCAGGGCGGGACCTGCTCCAGGGGCGGTCCCAGTGGGAGGGGTGAGGGGCGGGGCCTGCTCCAGGGGCGGTCCCAGCGGGAGGAGGCGGGGTGCGCCGGGCTGCGCTGCGCCGTCCTCTGATTGGGTGGCTCTTGCCCCCCGCTTCCTCCTCCGGGGCCCGGCGGGAAGTCTTATGACCTGGGCGCTCCTAGGTTCAACCCTGGGACCCTAGAGCGGAGCCGGCGAGCGACATGGAGCGGCACGGGCTGGGGCGGGCCTGCTTCCTGTTAACGCTGCTAGCGGCGTTGGCGACACAGGCCCGCGCCGCACCGAACCTAGGACTGTGGCCCCTGCCGCTCTCCGTGGAGATATCCCCGCGCCTGTTACATCTGTCCCCGCAGCAGTTCAGCATCGACCACGACCCCTCTTCCAAGACCGGCCAGTCCTGCGACCTTCTGCAGGAAGCATTTAGGCGGTGAGCACACCCCACTGGGCGGTCAGTTAAAGAGGATCCTTGGGGGGAGGGGGGAGGTAATACCAGGGACTCTGCAGGCTGGGGACCAAGGCGAACTCACCTGAGCTCCTGTTGTCACCTGCAGTCACGTAGCCACGCTCCCCCACCCCACCCCCCCATCCCCCAGGGACTCTTGATTCCTATTTCTGATCCTGTTAAGTGACTCCAAGCCACAGGGGACACCAGCAGACCCAGTGCCCGGTGTGGAAAACTCCGGCGGCTCCTGGAACCCACGTGGACAAACACTCCAGCTCTCCCCACACCTTTCCACTCCCCCAGCCTCTTGGCCTGAGCCCCGCCAGCCTGCCGGACACTGAGGGGGGGAGGAGGAGGCTGCTCCCAGGCTGGCCTTGGTCCTTCTGAGCAGAGATGGGGTGAGGGAGAGGAAGAGGCCAGCCATGCCACCGTTCAGGCGCTGAGAAGCCCCGAGGCTGGGGTGCTGCTGGGATGCTCTCCTCAAATCTCTGTTCCTTAAATGCTACCTGTTGCCTCCCAGCTGCTTGTTTTGTTCTTGAGCCCGTTTTGCAGGGCCTTGTCATGTTTATCTCCCCCTTTGCCTCAGCTGGGGTCAGCGGTGTCAGGAGACAGCCCGCAGGACCCCCACTACCCAAGCCAGGTGCACTTGGGAAGCCAAGTACATGGTGTTTTCTGCTCAGATCATAAACTGGGTGCTCTTCTGAATGAATGGCAGGAGGATGTCAAGAGAGCTAGATAATATATGATATATTTAACAAAGCTAGAGAGCCAGCAATTGATTTGGAAGAAGTTTTGGTGGAGCAAAAGCTATGCTCAGGGTTTACTCTTGCTTGACTCTGCTCACTGTTCATTCCTGGGGTATCATACACAGTGCCAGGGATAAAAACTGAACAAGGCAAATGCCTTAACTCCTGTACAACCCCAAACCAGCACTTGAATTAGCTGTGGGATGGTTCAGAAACAAATCCTTTTGTTCCCATGCAGTGCAGGTGATGACAAGAGTTTGCCAAGTCAGGCTTTTGATGAGAAGCAGCTGTTAAGGATGACTGCATTGTTAGGAAGCAGATAAAACATTCATCCTTATGGCTAAAATTTGAAAGCACTCTGGCAAGCATTGCAAGGTCTCAAGAGAAGCAGTTTCTGTGTCAGATTAAAAGCAAGATAAGAGGCTGGAGAGATAACTGGTAAGGCTCTCGCCTTCCATGCGGACAAACGGGGTTCGATCTCCAGTACCCCATGTGGTCACCAGAGCACCATCTGGAGTGATCTCTGAGCATAGGTGCCTGTAACCTAAACCCTCTCCCCCACTTCTACCCCAAGACAACAGTAGCAGGATTTGGACATGATGTGGGGAGTTCTAAGAGCTCTAAAAGATCTGGAACACGCAGTGGCCTAGCCCTAAATCACTCAGATTCCTCTCACTCCTATCTGTCAAGAGCCCAGCTTTTGTCCCAAGCTTTTGTCCCAAGCTGTATGTTTTGCAGGATAGTTTGGTCTGTTTTGTTGAGAGCTGCTTCTTCTGTTTCTAGGCAGTCACTTGCCATTTGCTCATTTTATTTTTAAATAAATGAATTGCCGCGCTTTCAGTCTTGAAATGCCAAATTAACCCCAATACATTGCACAACATTGACTCAGGACTCTTTCCAGTAGTGCTTAACCTACCAGGGGCAAGAATTGCCTTGTTTGTCACAAGCCAGCACCTAATGCTGGAATCAAAGTGGCTGGGCCTTTAATTTCCATTTATGTTTTTTTTTAATTGATTGTGGTAAAATGAAGATTTTTTTAAGTTACCTTCTTAAGTTTTGTGGGGAAGGAGAGAGCAAACCTATTATATATGCAAAGCAAGTGCTCTATGGGCATTACGTCTACAGCCCTATCTTGAAATGAAGGGAGTAGGGACTGTGCTCAGGGCTTACTCTTGGTCCTGGCTGGGTTCTGGAGACGGCATGTGCTGCTGGTCGTCCAGGTAGAAGAGCCTTATTAGCCACACTATCTCTCCAGCCCTAATCTTTAGTTTCTTTGGAGGTTTTTTTTGGGGGGGGGGGTTGGGTCACACCCAGCAGTACTCAGGTTACTCCTGTCTCTGCACTGAGGAATTTCTTCTGACAGTGCTGGGGGGAGGTGGAAGGCAAGGTCAGGGGCACAATATGGGATGCCAGGGATTGAACCCTGGTCAGCCGCGTGCAAGGCCAACACTCTACCCACCGTACTATCACTCTGGCCCCTAATCTTTTAATATTTTTCAGTAAACGGTTGTACTGTAGCACTTGTTGTCCCGTTGTTCATCATTTGCTCCAGTGGGCACCAATACAAGTCTCCATAGTGAGATTTGTTGTTACTGTTTTTGGCATATCGAATACACCACAGGTATCTTGCCAGGTATGGGTGGGATACTCTTGGTAGCTTGCCGGGCTCTCTGAGAGGAATGGCGGAATCGACCACATGCAAGGCAAATACCCTTCCCACTGTGGTTATTGAGCTTAATTCCCTTTTACTCTCTTGAGGTTTTTCTTTGAAAATTGCCTTCACCAGAGTGATTGTACAGTAGGCAAGATACTTGCCTTGCACATGGCAGACCTGGGTTCCATCCCTGGCATCCCATATGGTTCCTGAGCCTGCCAGGAGTGATTCCTGAGCACAGAGCCAGAAGTAGGCCCTGAATATTGCTGGGTGTGGCCCAAAAACCAAAAGAAGAAAGAAAAATGAAGAGGAAGGAAGGAGAAAGAAAGTTACCAAAAAAGAAAGAGGGAGAGAGAAAGAAAGAAAAAGGAAGGAAGGAAGGAAGGAAGGAAGGAAGGAAGGAGGGAAGGAAGAAGAAGGGGCGAGAATGGGAAGAAAGAAAGAAAGAAAGAAAGAAAGAAAGAAAGAAAGAAAGAAAGAAAGAGGGAGAGAGAGAAAATAGCCCTCAGTATATTAACTTTATCTGTTCTGCTCTTCACTAATTCTCCAGATCTTTCCACGTTCATTGGAATTAATGAGTCATCAGATCTCTCTTGCTCTTTTTTTTTAATGAGACATTTTTTCATGAGTAGCACATTCAATTTTCTGACTTTTAAAATCTATAAAATAAACAATGTCTTAGTATGATACCTGATCTTTATCTATTAAAACCTTTATATCTTTAAAACCTTTAAATAACATGTGATATTTGGGAATCTGCATAAGGTAAATTTTAGAAACCCAAGAGAAATTCTGTGTGATGGTGAGCTTTTTCAGGTTCCTGTATTAGGATACCTGTGATGAAACAGATACCCATATTTAGTTTGGTTTAAGCAATGAGGAAACAAGTTATCTCTCACACATCTAGACAGTCCAATGCAGAGATATTTCAGGGTAGTTGACTGACTCAACAGAATTGTTTGCAAATCTTTTTGTTACATCTCTGCCTGCCATCTGCAGTGTGGCACCGGATGGTTTTGGTTATCACATAGAGACAGTTTTTTTCTCAAGTGTCACCCTGCAGAAGTGACTTCGTATCACAACCCACTAATCTTAATCCCCCACATCATAGATCGTAACTAACTTGCACCCCCAAAGCGATGGGATTATTGTTATTGATTTAATTACTGACTTTTAGGACTTCCTAGGTGTTACTTGGGAATTTCAAGAAAAATTTAAGTGCCCATGGTTGGATCTCACATTCAGAAATTCGGCCTCTAAGGTCTGGACATTAGTATATTCCCTCAGGCCCCAGATGACTCTGATGTGTAGGCGTAGTAATCCTCTAACCAGACTAATATGGGAAGCAAGGATTTGAGAGATCATATGTTGTTCAAACTTTACTACTGTGCTTTCAATTTTTGTTTCAATTTTATTTTTCATGCAGATACTATTTGTATATTTTTTATGACAACAAGAAGCTTCAAGAACCTGCTAAATTTGAAAACAGAACACAGTTACAGCAACTCCTGGTCTCAGTGGTTGATGACTCAGAGTGTGACTCTTACCCCAATATCTCTTCAGATGAATCCTGTGAGTATTGGTTCGGTATGAACTAGCACACTCAGCTGATCCTTACAAACATTAATCCTGGGAACTATTCTGCAAAATACTGTGAGTTCTTGGCCAGTGACTTGGTAGTTCCTGGCCTATCAAGTGTACCATTAAAATGTAATCATAAAAGTAATGCATTGCCCACTAATAAAAAAATAAATAAATAAATAAAGTAAAATTGATTCACTACCAAAAAAAAAAAGTAGTGCATTACTGTTGTAGAAAATTTTTATAGCAAGTGAAAAGGAGGAGAGAAGGGACTCATCATTTCAATGTTCAGTCAGTTACTGCTAATCTATACTGGCTTATTTGTAGGTTTGGGGGTTCTTTTTGGTTTTTGGTTTTTGGGTCACACCCAGTGATACTCAGGACTTACTCCTAGCTCTGCTTTTAAGGCTCATTTCTGGCATGCACAGGGGACCACATGAGGTGCCAGGAATTGAACCCATATCAACCACTTGCAAGGCAAGTACTATCTCTCCAACCCCTCTACACAGTTAGTTTTTTTTTCCAAAATTATATTTTTTTAATTACATAAAGTAGGGCCTGCGCAGTTGTACAGCAGGTAGCGTGCTTGCCTTGCACCCAGCCAACCTGGGTTCAATCTCTAACACCCTATATGGTCCCCCAAGCCCACGAGCACAGAGCTAGAAGTAAGCCCTGAGCACCACCAGGTGTGGCTCAAACCCCCCTCACTAAAAGTAGATAATTTTTTAAAAATTTACACGAAGTAGGCACATGATAAACAATAACATGAAAATGTAGTAATTCTGTCCTTACAGTTTTTATATTCTGGCTCTTTAATGTGTAAATTTACTATAAGTGAAATACTTTTGTGTGGTATTTTTTGTTCTGGGCCTTGCTAGCGATGCTCAGGTGTTACTCCTGGCCCTGTGTTCAAGAATCACTCCTAGCAATGCTTGGAAGACTATATGCAATGCCAGGGACTAGACCCAGATCAGCCACATGCAAAGATCAGCCTTTATACTATCTCTTTGGCTTCTCTGTGATATTTTAATGGACGAATAATGTTCGACATTTTTATAGAATGTTGTTCTACATAATGCAGATTAAACATTACTCACTTAGCAATCCCCTATGTTGTACTAGATAATTTCTTGTATTTTGAAAAATTAATCTATGATTCCTAGAATCTTTTTTTGTTTGTTTTGGGGCCACATCTGGTGATGCTCAGGAATTATTCCTGGCTCCACACTCAGGAATTCTTCCTGGTGATGCTCAGGGACTATGTGGGATGTCAGGGATCAAATCAGGGTCTACCACATGCAAGGCAAAAAGCCTGCCTGCTATGCTGTCACTCTCTCCCCTGATTCCTAGGATCTAATTTGACATAAGCCTAATGTAGAGCAGGTGGAAAGTAACTATCATTTGGTTGATATTATTTCCAACATTTAGTGTATGATTTTGTATTGCTGTCTAAAACATTATACTCCAGGGACTGTTTCTGAATTATTTTGGAAGGAATGCATAACTGGGCAGGCCTTTCATAGGGGATCCTGACAGGAAATAACGTGGAAAAGGAATCAAGTTAAACACCATGAGGACATCATGATATAAGATTAGTGCAAACTGGTGACTTGGGTATAAAGATGACAGAAAGACTACCACATACCTTGCAAGAATGACTTCTCTCTCTCAGAAAGAAGTGGGTACATTTCTTCATCTGCTGGCTAGAGAGAGTTTCAACATCATTTTGGGAAAAAAACTTCATTTCTTTTCAATTCTATAGCTATTCTTAGAAGAGAAACCCAGTAGCTTGATATTATCAGCCACATGATTTAAGTTAACAGCTCTCAGATTCTCTGAATTAGGTTTTGCAATCTGAGTTGAGATAGGCATGATCATTAAGTTGCCAAGGAATCTTTGCTATCAATACAGATGATTTATTAGACATTCCAGAAAATGGAATGTGTAAAGACTGCAAAGTCAAAGCTGGTCTTCATTTAGGTTTGTAATCCCTTTTTCTTAGAAAAGAATACTTTTTGAAACAAGCTGACTATGAAATATTCTGTTTTAAGACTAAATAACTTTTAATGTTTTTACAAGTTGCAATATGAAAGTAATACCTACAAATGGAAATAGCAAATCATCCACTGATGTTCCAGAACTAAAGAAATGGTGGAGAAATTTGCAAATATATTATCATTATCTATAAAAAACAACAATACATATATCTCCAAACCAGAACTAGACTAAATTCTATTGTAGGTAGCTAGGAAGATATATCAGGGATGTTTGATGCAATTTTCCTGTAATAGTGAAGAGAATTGCAAACAAAACTATACATTTACATACACAAGAGTAAGTTTATCTGATCAATTCACACTGAAGGATAGATAGCACAGCGGGTAGGGCGTTCGCCTTACAAACGGCCAACAAGGCCGACCCAGGTTCGATTCCTCCGCCCCTCTCGGAGAGCCCAGCAAGCTACCGAGAGTATTCGATATGCCAGACACAGTAACAACCAAGTCTCCAATGGAGACGTTACTGGGCCCGCTCGAGCAAATTATAGAATAGGTAGGAATAAAGATGCCAAGTTATAAAGAGCAAACATGGATAAAATGCTCAGATAGACTACTGAGTCAGAAAAAGGAACTGATGTCTCTGTGTTCTGTATGGCCACGTTTATACATCAGTGCACACACAGGACCACTCAGGAAAATCAGTAGTATATGTTCTTATTTTACATGTGTCTGAAAATGTCCGTGAAAGGAAATGGCTAGTGTTTATTTTGAGGGAGATTGGAGAGTTGAGTGGACCTCTTAAAGAGAATGTTAGTGCCCTGGAGAAGGGATTATTGCTTAATTATTTTATGCCTGAAACTCAGTCATGAATGGTTTTTGTAGCTTTGTAATTCATGGTGATTCAATAAATAAAATAAGAGAAGTTTATTCCTATCTATAATATGTTCAATGATAAATATATTGATGTCATTAGTACATAAACCTATAAAACAAGTTTTTTTTTAGTTCGTTTTCTTTGGGGGCTACACCTGGCTGTGCTCAGGGCTTACTCCTGGCTCTAACTCAGGGATAACTACTAGAGGTGTTCAGTGGACCATATGTGGTGCCATGGATCGAACCCAGGTTGGTCGTGTGCAAGGCAAGCACCCTACCTGCTGTACTATCACTACAGCCCCTAAAACAAAAGACTTTTGCTTGAAAAGGAGTACAGCAATAACCGAAAAATGAAGGTGACCTCCATCCAATCTCAAGAGTGCGAGTGATCTGGTTTAGAAATAAAAGTGTAAGTTCTGCAGTTTATGGGTCTATGTGTAGCAAAATCTCCTAAGTGCTTTATATTTCTGGTTTTGCACTGAGTTGAATCATCATCCATTTTACTATCTGCCAACTTTAGCTACAGGAGATTATCATTATCAAATACAGGTTGTACAGTATTGTTTTTATATGACTACTTGTGCTGAGTATCTAAAAACTGTAAGATGAAATAATTATTTTTAAACAGTGACCAGTGAAATGATCTACCCTGGGTAGTTAACTCAGAATTTGATATTGACAGAGGGGAAGCAAGATTGATTCGCTTGTATTCATCATAGCAAAAAAATTTCTAGCCTGGCGTTTAGCTTATTTGATATAGTGGTCTCTGGATGGAAAAGGATTTCTTGTCAGCTGACTGTCACCTGAGAAGTTCACGTGATTATTAATTCCTGCTGAAGTCTTCCTTATCTGCAGCCAAATATGATGTGACATGTGGAGGGTCATGATGATTTGAAGCTGAGATTGACTTGAAATCATTATCTTTATTGTGACAGAGTCCACATCTTTCATAATCTTTAGCTTTCAATTTCTCTATATAGTCTGGTATTTTACTTCATTTGTGGTTGATTCTGCCCCAAACTTCTAAAAGCATAACAGTACTTCTGGGCCAACCTAAGCTTCCTTCCTTCCTAAGATTCTGATTTGAAAGGTTAAAAATTGAGCCTCCTGTCTTTAGTCACTATCCCTGTATGTCCAGATGTGGCCAACTGGTGTCTTGTACCAGATAGTTGGTGACTTTTTACTGAGTGGGCAAAGCTCAAGTAACCCATGAGTTCAGAAAGAGTTTTTGCAGGGATGGGGAGTGACACTCCTGCTGGGTTTCAAACCCAGAGTTCTTGCATGCAAAGCATGTGCTGGAGACCTTTGGGCCATCTTCCTAACCCAAGATAGAAGGTTTATGGCCAACTTTGGACGATTTTAAGGGAAGGTGGGTGCAGGGTAAGTCAGGAAACACAGCAAGAGAAGATAGATGGTGCTGATAACTCTGCTTTAAAGATTTGTGGAGTGTCTAAATGAAACTGAGGCTTTTTGTAGGAATAGTGGGTACTGAGAAATATGTTTACCGCTCAGTTCACATCTGCCCATGCTCAGGACTCTTCTCTGTCTAGGGTCAAAGGAGGGAAAATGAGGGATCTTGATCTGACCTGAATAACACCAAAGGTCTCGAGCAGGAAGCCAAGAGAATGAGCACCGGAGAGGCTGTGAAATGTGTGGGGCATGCAGGGGCAAGGAATTCAGTTGTGGGGTGTGAGCTGAAGGGAGGCATGGAAGCTGAAGGAAGGACATGGAAGGGAAGAAGGGAATGAGTCATGTGGAGAAACAGCCGTGGAGCTCGGGGAATGAAATCTTCAATTCAACAGATAAACGAAGAGACATTCACTATCGCCCCAGTGAGACTCACACCCCACCTTATAGAGTGGTTATTACTAAAATATTGAACCAGGAAACACATTGCTGATAAGTATGTAGAGAAAAGAAAAACTGTTCTATCCTAGTGGTGACTGCAACTTTGTGTCAGTCACTTAGCAATAGGAGGTTCCTCAAAAATTTAAAAATAGAATTAGCATCTGATCCAGCATTTCCTCTCCTGATATTCATCCAAGAAAACCAAAATACTAGCTGGAAAAGTTAACTGCGCCACCATCTTCAATGCAGCATTATTTATAGTCATCAAGATACCGAAATAAGCTAAGTGTCTTTTGATGGTTGAAGGATATACAGTGACCAGGCACATGTCCCTTTCTGGTGGGGATAGGTTCTCAACATGCTGTGGGCTGATTTGACATGCTGAACCATAGTAGAGAGTTACACAGACCTCGACTGTGAATGGCACGCCCCAGATGAGCAAGTCTTGTGAGCAGTGTTCATCAGCCAGAATGCTACTGAGTAGCATATATGACTAGGTATATATACATTTGTTCATAAACATGCACACACAGGGCTGGAGGTATAGAGTAACAGGCTGAACATATGCATTGTCTGTGGGAGTCCCAGATTTGGTCCCTTGCATTGCATAGTCTCCGTAGTACTGGCAGAAACAGCCCCTAAGCACCACTGTGTGTGGCACGAAGTCCCCTCTCCCCACAGAAAACACATGCACACAAAATGGAATATGACTCAGCTATGAAAAGAACATTATATTGCCATTCGCTGCACATGAAATCTAATAGTACTATACCAAGTGTAATAAGTCAGACAGTAAGATATACCATATCATATGATCTCATTTAAGCATGGAATCTAAGGGTAATGAAAAAAAAGCCTGAGTCCATATATACAGATAACAGGTTAATTGTTGTTAGAGGGTTGAGAAGATATGGAAAGGGGGTTGAAGTTCACAGACATAAATTTCAGTTGTGAAATAAATGTCCTAGGGAAGTAAGGTACAGCCTGGTGTTTGTAGTTAAAAAATCCTGTATGCAAATTTGAAAGTTGCTGAAAGAGTAGATCTTAAGTATTCTCATCACCAGAAAAAATATTGTAACTATGTATCTGACAATATTATGAGCTATATTGTGATCATTTTGCAATATACACATCAAATCAGTATGTTCACACCTGAATTAATAGAATGGAAAATGTCTACTGTATCTCAATTTTGAAATAGAATGGTTCAGAAATACCAACTCTGTGTTTAGGAAGTTTACTGTGAATCACTGAGAGATTAACATTCAGAATTCATTTTCTTTTTAACAATTCAAGATAACTTGAAGGTACAAGGACCAGTGGCTTCCCTCAGTGCGCACAGTGTATGGGGAGTGTTGAGAGGTAAGTTCTATGCACTTTCATTATTAGTTTCTAGTAAGGAACTGTGTGTTGATGGTGCTTTGGGAAGTCAAGCCACAATAGAATTTGTTTCCTTGGGCTGTTTATAGGTTTATAAGAGGGCAGAACCTTACTGATGTTTGACGTGATCCATATCTAGATTAAGACCTTTGATAGTATGAAGTGGCTGGAATTTAGTCCAGGAATTCGCTATCTTTGTGTACTGTCAGACTTTAGCACAAACTGGCCTACAAGAAAATTGAGTGTTTTCTTAAACTTAAGCATAAGTGCCAGTCATTTTTTTTCTGAGTTGTATTTGGGGGAGAGGTGGAAAGATCTATAGAAAATGATTTTGATTTACTCTTAAATTGAAATTTTCTCTTATTATACAGCTCTCTGCTAGAATAATCACTTTTTGTAAAACAAGGCCAATTACAGGTAATGACCAGTGATGAGAACAATTCACTTTGCAACTACGAGTAAAACACTGTCCTGAGTTGGGCCTTTATAATTTCATGTTGCCACTTTGACTGTATTCCTTCTGTAACATTTTGGCGCCTAATAAAGCTTTGTTATTTTATCAAGACACTTTTGTCTAATAATACTATTAGGAAGTTATTTTTCTCATAATAATATATCTTTATTAATCAACTGCCAAAGTGATAGCACAGCGGGTATGGCGTTTGCTTTGCACAGAGCCGACCTGGGTTCAATTCCTTCATCGCTCTTGGAGAACCCGGCAAGCTACTGAGAGCATCCCGCTCACACAGCAGAGCCTGGCAAGCTCCCCTTGGCGTATTCGATATGCCAAAAACAGTACCAGCAAGTCTCACAATGGAGATGTTACTGGTGCCCACTCGAGCAAATCGATGAACAATGGGAGGACAGTGGACAGTGAACAAGCAACTGGTATTATGGTACTAAAATTGCTTTTTTAATGTTTATCATTTGACAAAAAGTTGCCACTGAGATATAGTGAAGTAAAGTATTTTTATTAGATATTTATTAGGGCTGGAGCAGTAGCACAGCAAGTAGGGCATTTGCCTTGCATGCAGCCCACCCAGCCAACCCAGGTTTGATTCCTCTGCCCCTCTCAGAGAGCCCGGCAATCTACCAAGAGTATCTCGCCTGCATGGCAAAGCCTGGCAAGCTACCCATGACATATTCGATATGCCAAACACAGTAACAAGTGTTACATTGGAGAGGTTACTGGGCCCGCTCGAGCAAATCGACGAACAACGGGAGGACAGTGACAGTGATTTATTAGATGTTAGTGGATTTTTTTCAGTTCAGTTTTGATTATAGAAAATACATCAGAGGGTATAGGTATAACATGATATTTATTAGCCATTTTTTGTTTGGATGTCTATTTGGGTAATATAAACCTCATTTCTCTATTTTATAAATTGATACAACATCATTTTATATACTCTAGGTTTAGAGACATTTAGCCAATTAATTTATCAAGATCCTTATGGAACAGTAAGTATAATTATATGTTACTGAAATATTTTATAAATATATTTGTTGGGGGAGGGGCTGGAGCGATAGCACAGCGGGTAGGGTGTTTGCCTTGCACGTGGCAGACCCAGGTTTGATTCCCAGAATCCTATATGGTCCCCCGAGCACCACCAGGAGTAAATCCTGAGTGTAGAACCAGGAGTAACCCCTAAACATCACTGGGTGTGACCCAAAAAGCAAAAATAATAAATAAATATATTTGTTGGGGGAAAATAGGATTTTCAGCTCTTGAGGGGGCTGAGAGCAGAGCGCTCCCCCACTTTCCCCCACCCAACAACAGTCAGCGGAATCAGGGGCTATTCAGGGGCTATTCTAATAATATCCAGCCAATTAAATGGGATGATTGGATATTTTGACCCAAGGATATGGTGTCGTAGTGCCAGGAACCACCAGGCTTCCCTCAGCCATCTTGGGGACCCCCAGAGCTACACCCAGCAATCCTCAGAGAGGACATGGAGTTCCATGAATTGAACTGGGGTTCATACATACAGACCATGTGCCCCTGATCCTTTTGTCTGCTCCCGCGACATAAAGAAGAGGACCTATTCCTTTACTGCTTCTTGAGGTTTATTTCTTTATTGCTCTTTGCGGATTTTGCTCTCTTTATTGCTTTAGTGCTTCTTAAAGTTGTTATTCCTCTCTAAACATTTAACTTAGCTGAAAGGTGTAAATTGTGTTGTTTGTTCCCAAATAGTTTATTCAGTACTTTTACATGTGTATTCTTCCTTGATACTTAGTCAAGAAGGGATTCTAAAAATAATTTAAAAATTAATTTTGTCTTTTAGATCACCATCAATGAATCCACTATTACTGATTCTCCAAGATTTCCTCATAGAGGCATTTTAATTGATACAGCCAGACACTACCTGCCTGTTAAGCGTATTTTAGAAACTCTGGTAGGTGATTCTTTCAAGCTATTATCTATTCTGAAGCTGCTCTGTTTTATGCTGTTTTTTACACTGGAAGTTACAGACTCAAATCCTCCTGTGCAGGTCTGTGCATTTGCTTTTCATGTACTAAGTGGAAATACTGAGCTTTCATTTCTTCCTCTCCTCGGAAGTTTATTTCCTCAGCACCCATTTGTTTTTCATGATGGTGCTGAGAAGAGCTCGTAACGTTTAGCCCAGGTTGGTGAGAGAAGGCTGTCTATAACTTTAATACAGCTACTTTTGGTATTTTTCAGAAACATCCTTATATGTCTAAATCTTTGTTAGCTGAAAAAGGAATGTTAAATTCTGTTTATGTATAGACATATTGAGAAGCAGACACATTGAAAACGATCCTGAATGTTGTAAATTGGATTGTGTATTAAATCCGTTGTGTGTAACTGTTCAACACCTTGTCTTGCAGGATGCCATGGCTTTTAACAAGTTCAATGTTCTCCACTGGCACATAGTTGATGACCAGTCTTTCCCGTACCAGAGTATCACTTTTCCAGAGTTAAGCAATCAAGTGAGTATTTTGCATTATTGAAATCTGGGTTATTGAAGTCAAGTTGTTTGGTGGCATATAATTACACAGCTGTAGCTTAAATGTTGCATTCTTTGGGGGTAGAAATGTTGTATAAAAGTAGGCACTTGAAACTTAACATGTTTTCCTTCATATTTTAGATCCATGTAATTATTATGTTTTTTGAGTTTCTTTTTAATGTACGCTGTAGGATACCATTGGTTTGTCCTTTCTCCCTTCCTGCAGGGAGCTTGGGTTTGGGTTACACCCATCAGGGCGCTTTTGAGGCACTCCCACTCCTCTGTGATTATCTTTCACTTCTCTGTGCTCTGCTTCCCCCCTCTGACCACCTGTATACCCAAATTAGACTCTGTGACTTGTTAGGTCAGATCCTTCTAAGGACTCTGGATTTTGTACTTGTAAGTGAAATATTACTTTTCTCTTTCCCTTATGTCCTTTGCATAGTTTACTTTAGAGCAATGTCCTTTTGTATAAGACACAGTAAGGCAGTGAATGCTATGCTTTTGTAACATGGGAGTTCATTGACTTCAAGTAATATTTACCCCTGGACATCTGTCATATTTACTCAGCTTAACCCTCAGTTGCCCTTAGTTCCTAGCACCCCCAAAGCAGGGTTCTGACAAAGGGACTGAATGAACCCTGGGCAAGCTGTAAGCTATCCTGGCATTGAAACAGGACAGGCCAAGTGCCATAAAACTTATAATTTAAGAGCACGGTCATGGATGAACTCTCATGAACCAAAGAAAAGTGACTAGACAAGAACCCTACTAGGGTTAGGAAAGACTAATCTGGCCTGAGATTTGTGGTCTGGGATCTATAATGAGATATCCCCAGGAGAGCCACCCTGTCCTGTAAGATTAATATATCTCTTACTGTGTCCATACAAAATGACTAGAAAGATTATTAAGAAGTAAGTAAATCTAAGATGATTATTTGCGGACTGAGGAAAAGAGAAGTATGTCCTTAGATGAAATTCCACCTTTGAAGGAAGGGAAGGGCTGTCATATGTTGATTGTGCTATCTCACCTGGGCATAGTTGCTACCCCCAGCGCTTGGAGGTGGGGCCCTAGAGTAAGGGTGCTGGGAGAGTAGCATGGGGGAAAGTAGGAGATGGGAGTGAGGGGCATTGTGAGACTGGAATGGCGCGCTCAGTGAGACTGGGGTAGGTGCACAGGGAGAATGAAATAAACAGCAGGACAGAGATTGGAATAAATGGCAACTGATCACCAACCAGCCTGGCGTTCCTGTTTACCCCCTCATGCATCTCTTGAGGTGGCTGCAGGCCGGGGGCAGGGCGGGGGGAAGCAGCTCATGGCCACCGAATGCATGTGAGGGAGAGAATCCACGCCACTCATTTATTGACTACATAGTACATAACATAAACAGCATATTATAAATGCTACTGTAATTTGTTATGATCCTGTAAAATATAAATCTATAGAGGCTCTACACTTAAAAATTTTAAAACTCAAATGTAGGAGACCCAAAGTGTTCGTTGTCAACATAAGGTTTAATAATGATTAATGAGCCAAACTATATTAGTTTTAAATGAAATTATTTTGAATTCTCTACATGACCTTTTTTCCTCTCTGAAAACATGCAATAGGTGTTGTTAGACATGAGAACTTCTTAATAAATAGTGGTAATCTCAACTTGAACATGTTTAAATTGACCTTCATAGACTAGAGGAGAGTTGGTCAGGCATTGGTATGAACTGTTGGTGTAATCTACCTGTAATACAAAGATAGCAGCTAAAATTTAGTAAAACTTGATGTGCAGTTCAATGTTGCAAGTAGTAAGAGTCAGAACCAGGATTCTAAATTTTATTTACTTTCCATAATTTCAAAACTTTGACTAATGCTTTCACGTAATATACTCTGAAATGCTAGCTTCACTCAGTGTTTTTGCTGGTTGTGCTTTTATTAAGGAAAAATTTCAAATAACATAGACAGAACAATTTAATGATTTTTTAAAAGTTTTTCTTATTGAACAAAAATGTTTTTATTGAACAATTTAATGATTTATATATATTTATCACCCAACTTTATTAATCAGTACCTTTTCAATTAGATTGCTTAAATACCCAACACCATTATAATTAAACTGTTTGTTTGTGTGTCTAGTTTGAGGATTAAGTTCAGGAACTCACACAGACAGACAATAATATTTTCAAGTTTCTGTTACCTTTCATGAAAAATTTTATAACATTTATTGTTGGAAATATAGACATACACCCAATCTGTTGATATGTGTATTTTCAAGCTATTGGTGACTTTTTTTTTCTTCTAGATCTTTGTCTAATAATATCTCAGTTTGGGTTTTAGTAATTGTATTTTTATAATGTCAATTAATATGTCTTCTGGCCCCTGTATTTACCCTCAGGGAAATTTGACATTGTAGCCATATACAGATTTCTTTCCAGGACATAAAAAATTATATTCCATAACCTTTAGAAATAGACTACAGTGACACCATGAGTAAACCTTTATCTTCAGTGAAAATCAAACCTGAATTCTCAGTTTTCAAGGGACTGGGGGTAATCGAAAAGAAAATCATGTGGAGGCCTGTGAGATTATGCAGTGACGGGAAAGGTACTTGCCTGGCCATGCTCAAAATGTCAGAGAATTCCTGAGATTTGTAAATCTGATTGTAGTTCAGGGGACTTTGAAAAAAGAATAGGTATGCCTTAGAAGATTTTTACATCTGATTCTATCACTGATAAATGCAGTGGATTTCATTTTAAGTGGTTTCACTTTGGAGTCAAGCAGTTCAGTTCTACGTGGGTATGTTAGATTGACATGGCAGAGGTCCCTGAAACGGAAGCCCTTCTGGGAATGAGAGTTCTCAAGGTAAATTCCAAAGAGTGCTGAGTAAACATCATGTGGGGTTATTTCATACATTATGATATTGGAAGAGTCAGTTCTCAGGTACTGAGTGCAAACAGAAATATGAACACTTTCCAGGACAAATACTCTTTTGATATTCATGTTTTTATGTGTGACTTCTTCAAGGGGCGCTATTCCCCGGTTCATGTGTATACTCCAAAGGATGTCCATATGGTGATTGAATATGCCCGGTTACGAGGGATTCGAGTCATACCAGAATTTGACACCCCAGGACACACAGAGTCTTGGGGAAAAGGTAAGAAGGAGGAAGAAGGAATGTTTTATAATTGCAAAAAAGGGAACATGTGCAGTTCTGCATCTCTGATTTATGAAAGATTATGCTTAGTCTATTCTTATTGTGACTTCTACCATCACTAACAGAATTCACTGTAATTCAGTAATTCTTATATGTATGTCACTGTGTCCAGGCTTAAGTATACAACTGAGGGTTAAAATGGGGGGAAAAAGACATGTTTGCTGAAATAGAACACAATGGACTTAAGACTATGCTTTCTTGATGAAGTACTGCTTACAGTGTTTCTGAGCATTAATAAGGAATATATTCCAATTTCTGGTAAAGTGAAAGCATTTATGTGGAATATATAGCAGCAAAGTGTAAATCAAGATTATCTTGTTTTGGGGTCAGAGAACTAGTACAGGAATTATGGTAATCTGCCTTGCGTACAGCCAATCCCCATCCAATCCCCAGCACCACGGGTGGTACCTCGAGGACCACCAGGGTCTCACAGAGAACAGAGCCAGGTTAGCCCCAAAGCACCCCAGTGTGTGACAAAAAAGGGGGGGTATTGGTGATGGGTAATATAAGAGACGAGCTTGGGTTCCAACATTCCTTTTGCCATTTTAAATGTAATGACCAGCCTAGACTAGTTATAAAATCTCATATTCCTTTTCCATCATTTAGTTGGAGACAGTTGTATTAGTAGCCATCACTAAATGTTTTTGAGGATTAAATGGACAAAGCACAACAGGTGCATTTACCATTGTCCAGTAAGTGTTACTGTGAGGGCCGAAGTAGAGATCCCTGGGGGCGAAGTCTGGAAGCACATGAGGGCCCTGCATGTGCTTGGGCTCACCAGGAACCACGGAAACCATTCCTGAAAAGAAGGTGACATGGCAGGGGCTGAGCTGCAGGAAAGCCCACATGACAGCGACAGTGGGTTGGCAGGGGAAACAGACTGAAGTCCTAGACCAGAATGATGAGCAGGCATAGAAGACAGTGTACAGAGCTGAGAGACATTCTGAGAGTAAGATCCAGAGACCTCTGAGATGGGTTGTCAATGGGAGAAGGGCTGCAGGCTGGTAGGACCCTGCGACCTAATCAGAATATAAAAATGAAGAGAAGCTATAGAAGGACCTCAGGGAAAATGGAAATCGAGACATTAGAAATTTGTTTTCAATGAGCGGTCACTGTTTACAGTAGAGTTGAAGTCATTGTTTCATCCGTGCAGCACTGCTACAGCCCTCCGCTCCATCGGTGCCAAGGACCTTCCAACACTGTCCTCCGACTGAGCACCTCTCAAACCAGTTAGCCACCTCAGCTCCCAGTAGTACTGATCACCGTTCATTCTGTATTTCCACTGAGAATTGTCTGGTCTTTGTTTCCGTACATCTTGCATAAGAGCAAACATCCCATCTTGAGAATTTGCGTTTTGTTGAATCTTATTCGAAGTGCACCTAGGATATCTGTTCCTGTGAGATAATGTCTCACAGAGGCCCAGGTAATCTCAGAGAAGTCATTGGTGAAAAATGGAAATAGCGAGGTACAGAGATAGATAGGATTCAGCAAAGAATTCCTCCTCGTGATATTTGGAAGAAGATGCATTATTCACTCTTTGTAGACATGCTTCTCGTTTTCTGTGCAAAATATAGCTTCGTTCAATTAAGCTGATAGAAAAACATGTGGAACATCAGGTGTTTGTAATGAAAATGCGTTTTTAGAAAAGATTCTCCATGTTTTCTTACAGGTCAGAAAGACCTCTTGACTCCATGCTATGATAAAGAACTGCCATCTGGGACATTTGGACCGATAAATCCTATCTGGAATTCAACTTACAGCTTCTTGTCAGATTTTTTTGCTGAAATTAGTAAAGTGTTTCCAGATGAATTTATTCATGTGGGAGGAGATGAAGTAGAGTTCAGTTGTTGGTATGACAATTCATCAAAACTTCTTTCTCAAATTTATAAATTTATAATTCTATTCCATTTCAAAGTGGGTCTAGCGGTCTCCAGTGGAAAGGAAAGATTTTGGGTAACATTTCTACTTGTAGAGTTCAACATGGCAAAACTGTTTGGAAGTGGTGTACTTTTGTAGAATGTGCATATGGGTAATAAAACAAACAAGATGTAAAATGAAATTGAAAAGCCTGTAGCAACAAGACAGCTTTACTGAGATACAGCAAGGATTAAATGGGGGAGATTTACAAATCCATTTCCAAATCGTCTGATACTCTGGAGAAAGTTTGAGGAAAGTAATTCAGAGGCCACTTGAATTACCACCACCAAGCTATTGCCTAGAGGCGGCTTCTGTCTAGCATAAAACAGTGGTTTGACTCTTAGTAAGTGGTGTTGAAATGTGGGAAAAAAAGACAGGAAATGAAAGATTATCAGTACATTAGCTTTTGGAAAAGTTATTTGGGATAATATTAGCATAATTCAGGTTTTTTTTTTAAAAAAAGTCTGTTTCTTGGGGCTGGAGCACAGTGGATAGGATGTTTTCCTTGAGTGCAGTTAACCTGGGTTCAGTACCTGACATCCCATGTAGTCCCACAAGCACCGCCAAGGAGTAATTTCTGAGTGCAGAGCCAGGAATAACCCCTGAGTATCTGAGTGAGGTCCCCAAAAACAAATTTTTTTTTGTTTCTGGGCCAAACCCTGTGGTACTCTGGGACTAATCTGACTCTGTGCTCTGGGGTCACTCGTGGCAGTTCTCATTCATCCTGTGTTATCTCTTTTTTTTAATAATTTTTAAATAGTCATTATAGTTTAGATAACACATATGTAATTTTAACCTCTGTTTTTTGCTACAGGCAGTCCAATCCAGAAATTCAAGCTTTCATGAAACGCAGCGGCTTTGGCGAAGATTTTAAAAAATTAGAATCTTTCTATCTTGAAAAGTAAGTTACTTGAATGTGTTCTTCAATTTTTACTTTAGTGCCTTTTAGAAAAAAAGTCTTTTTGATTATTTTGGTGTGATTTTGTTATTGTTTTATTTATTTTTCTCCATCAAAAGTAGATGGTGGTAAAAAGTATTGATAGTGGTTTAAAAAAAAAAGGAGGAGGAGCCATTTTTTTATTTTACCATACACGGTGGAATAAAGCCTTTTGAAATAACTGCTGAGTGGTGGGATAACAATGCTAAGAACTCAGCTCAGCACCAGAGCTATAGTGTGGAGGGTGAGCATGCCTTGTACACAGTCCACCTGGATTCCATCCCTGGTACCCCATATGGTCCTTCAAGCCTGCTATGAGTGACCCCTGAATGCAGTCCTGTGCACAATTGTGTCCCCCCAAACCTCCCCAAAACAAAAACACAAACACTCTCAGCCCTAAGCCCTGGTTACTCTGCAGTGTCTTCCTCACTCATCGTCTAGTGCTGGAATTCCTTCCTGGAGCACGTCTTATACTCTCTACCTGAACTGGCCAGTAGGACATCACAACCACATGTGACTATATATATTAAAAGTATGTTACTGTGTTAACAATGGCCTACATACAGCTTTATACTGCATCTCTATAAATTATAGGATGATCAACTCCAAGAGATTAGCTTCAATCTATCCCCAAACAAGTGATCCCTCTGACCTATATCATGCTCCCTCTTCCTGCTTCCTCTCTGGTAACCATCTTTCTGGTCTGAAAGAGTTTCCCCTTGTTAGTTTGGGAAGTACAGTGAAAAAGATGAAAACTTGTTTTCAGTTTCAGTCACAGTTGTCACATTTTAAGTGTCCAGCAGACAGGGGAGGCTAGTGGGTGAAAATTGGAAAGTAGAGATAAAAAGAGTTCCATCTGTGCAGAAAGTTCTAATGCAACATTCTACCTATGCAGAAAATTCTAATGCAACATTCTACCCAGTGGGGGACTCTACAAATGATTTGCATAAAGGCCCATTTCTTTAATCTTCTGAACACCTGGCATTTTTGTTTTTTCCTCGATGCCAAGGGTAGAACCTAGGATGGCACCCATTCTAGAAGGCACAGCTCTACCGTACTATGCCACATCACCTGCACTTCCCAGGCATTGTTTAACCATCAAGAAATCACTGTCACTGTCCTCCCATTGTTCATCGATTTGCTCAAACGGGCCCAGTAAAGTCTCCATTGTGACAATTATTACTGTGTTTGGCATATCGAATACATCACCGGTAGTTAGCCAGTCTTTGCCGTGTGGGCAAGATACTCTCAGTAGCTTGCCGGCTCTCCTTTGCCAGGGCGAAGGAATCGAACTCGGGTTGGCCATGTTGGCCGCTTGCAAGGCAAATGCCCTACCCGCTGTGCTATCGCTCCAGCCCATCAAGAAATATTTTGGACTAATTGTGGCAACTGTAGAATGGTACTAAGGTGCTGTCGCAGGCTAGATTAGAGTTTCTTCTAAGACTGCCATGGAATTAGTAGAAGTTGATGTTTGCACATGTCTGAGTTTCCATGTGAATGGGATATGCAGCTCAGTTACTCAGCAAAAGACTTTTAAACTGTCTGTTGAGTCAGATTTTTGAGTCACATGATAGGAAAGAGTTATTTGTCCTACCCAGTAACTCCTTCCTTTTCAGTAACTCCCAACACTTGTTTCAGCAAAAGCACTTCCCATGGTTCTAATTCCTAATAGAAAACATGCATACTTTAAACATTAGTGTTAACTGCATCATCTGAAATAACTGATATTTTCTTCAACTGCAGACTTTTGAAGATTGTTTCAAATACAAAGAAAAGAACTATAGTCTGGCAAGATGTTTTTGATAACAAAGATAAGGTAAGGAATTTATCAGATTTAATGTTATAAAAGAGAATTAATGTTATAACATCTTGGATGGCAGGAACCCTGATGAAGCTTTTCTTGTAGTTATGGAGATTACCTTTCCTTTCCTTTTAAAGTGTTGTTAAGTGAAAGCTGTAAACTTACCAGTGATCCTGCACCATCTTTCCTTCAGTTACTTCACTCTTTAGTGTCATTATTGATCACAAGTTGACTTGCTTTAAGTTTCTTTCCCAGTACAGCTAAGTTATCAGTTCAGAATGAATGAGTCTTCATTGCTATTAACGCAGTTTTTTGGTTTTTGTTTTTGTAAATAAATATATCAGTCTTCACTTTCAATATTATATGACATCTCTTGTGGACATGGCAAGAATCCTTTTGTTTTTTAGGCAAGAGGACAACTGAGAATTTATTTTTCTAACTGTTACTATCAGTCTTCCTAAAAGCTAGATGACATTTTCTCAATTTTCTAAAGTGTAAAACAGTAGTGGCCCCCTGGAGCTATGTAATCCCATCAATGGCCAAGACTCAGAGACTATAAAACCCAGCTCCCGGAAGAGAACAGCGCAGTCTCCTGCCCCCACTCCTGTCCTCGCTGGGGCCCCTTGGAGGGGAGCATATTGAGTTTTCCTCCCCGCCCCGACCAGGGCTCTAGCAGCCAAAGACCCCCAGAACCAGCCACCACCATGCTGAGACCACTCTCCACACGCATGAAGGTACCAGCAGAGGAACAAAGGCATGCGGTCCCGGGGCTGAGATCTCCAAGCCTGCTTGGATCGGGGCTGAGCATCCGCCACCCAGATCCTCCAAATTCCAGTAGGCAGGGTTCACACCCACCAACTGGCCCCCTGGAGCCGTGTAATCCCATCAACGGCCAAGACTCAGAGACTATAAAACCCAGCTCCCGGAAGTGTGCGGCCGCATTTGCGGCCGTGCGACATCTTACCATCTCATTCCTACTTTGGACAAACTGGCAGGCTACCAAATGTAACCTGCACACACGGCAGAGTCTGGCAAACTCCCCGTGGTATACCCAATATGCCAAGTACCAGTAACAATGATGGGTCTCATTCTCCTAACCCTGAAAGAGCCTTGAATATGGCACTTTAAAAAAAAAAAATCTCAGGACTAGGACGAAGGAGACGTTACTGGAGCCTGCTCGAGGCAATCGACGAACAACAGGATGGTCGTGATCGTGAAAACAGTAGTGTGGTAAAAATGGATTTTATGCTTTTGTATGTCACATCTACATATGAAGAAAAAATTTAAAAATCTAACTATAAGATTGATGTTTCTTATGATTGTTAGTCCTTACAGTGAACAGCCTTTGGAAATGATCGGAAGGAAAAGGGAAAACAAAAGTAGTTGTGAAGAATCATAGAAAACCATATTCTGAGTGTACAGGTTTTTTTTTCCTATACTATACTTGTTATATCTAATATTAATTATAATTTGTAACTTCATAGCTTCAACCTGGCACAGTGGTTCAAATATGGAAAACGGAGAAATATGCCTTTCGTGAAGCAGATGTTACAGCAGCTGGCTTCCCGGTAATCCTTTCTAGCCCCTGGTACTTAGATTATATCAGTTATGGACAAGATTGGAGAAAATATTATCAAGCGGAACCTCTTAATTTTGAAGGTGAGTAAAATAACATTCGCTACTGTGATTCATTCCTTTTCTTCCCTGCCAATCCCCATCTTGAAATTTTACCAAGGTATTATCTAATAGTCATTGTTCCTTAATTTGATGCCTTGTGTCATTCTTAACTTTGTCAAATAAACAGTATTCTTATACAAAAAGAAAGAAGCTCTAGGCCTACAAACATGGTGGATTAATATTCAACAGAGCAAAACAAATAGGTGTAGTAAGAAAAACCATGACACAAAAAGAGTCCTTCCCTGAGGCTATCGTTAAGCACCAATAGCCATCAGAGCCTTAGGTGACAAAAACCCACCCTGTAGCTGAGACTCCTGAGGAAGATTTACTGATAATTTCAACACTCAGATCTCTCCCCACTCTGTAGGAAACCCATGCATAATTGTCCCTAGGGTACCCCAGCAATAGCGCAGAAACTTGGACTGGGCGTGGAGGAAAGTTCTATTGAGCTCATTCAAAGAACAATAGGGTCACAGTAGAAAAGAGAATATCAGAACATTTCATACCCCCATCTAGTTCTTTTCACCTAGAGCTGTGATTAAATGAAATATCAAAGAATCAACCCTTGTATATATCTGTCCCCACTCATATCTGAGGTTCTGGGGAAAAAAAAAAGACAAACCAAGCCAAAAGCTACAGCAGCACTTGTTAATTTAAAAAGTAATTGCCAGGGCCAGAGTGATAGTACAGTGGGAAGGGTGCTTGCCTTGCACATGACCAACCTGGGTTCCACCCCTGGTATCCCATATGGTCCCCTGAGCACCGCCAGGAGTAACCCCTGAGCATCACCAGGTGTAACCCAGAAAGCCAAAAAAAAAAAAAAAAGAAAAAGTAATTGCCAAAAAGTTAAATCCAAAAAAAAAAAAGTTAAATCCAGTGATAATGAATAAGAAAAAAAAATCCCTTCAGCAGTGAACCTGAATGTTATAGATAGATACAGATAGTCTCAATACACAATTAAAATTATTATGAAAAAAATAAAATATGCCAAATGCACAATAGCACAGAACAAAAGATTAATGAAATAAAGAAAATTTAAGAGCTGAGGGAATTTTTGCCAAAGGAACAAAACTATAAAAGCAAAAAAAAAAAAAAAACTATAAAAATAGTCCAGATCGTGGATGTGGAAAGAAAATGGAAAAAGGAAAATTTAATGGTGAGTCTAAATTGCAGAGAAGAAAATAAGTGAACTTGAAGATAAAACTCCAGGAATGAACCAAATCAATTAGAAAAAAGAGATATGCTTTAAGAAAAATTAAGAAACCATGCAAGTATTCAGACTCCATTTTTAGGATAACAGGGATACCAAAAAGTGAAGAGCGAGAGCCTAGTAAAAGAAAAAGTAGTTGAAAACTTTTTTGCATATAGTGTGTTTAATAAGATGGTAGACATACACAAACTGCCAAGGACTGGTTTTGTTATACATCCTAGTACAGATTATATCTGTTAAATCTTTATATGAAGCTGTACCTATGTCTATGTATTATTATTGTTTTGTTGCTTTGCTTGCGTGTTCCGCTTTTTTTAGAAAATTAAATCATGAGATACACAGTTACAAAGGTGATTATGATTGGGTTTTACTCATACAATGTTCCAACACCCAATCCTTCTCCAGTGTACATTTCCCCCACTAATGTCCCGGGTTTCCCTCCCTCTCCCCCACAGGCATTGCCCCCCTCTCCCTTCTCCCCCCCACCCTGTCTCTTAGGGCATTATGGTTTGCAGTACAGGTACTGTACTGCAGTACAGTTAACATATCATATCCCTTTACCTGCTTGCTAAAACCTTTCTAACCCTAAGAAAATTACAAAAGCTAAGAGAACATTCAGAATTCAGTTTTACAAAAACACAGGTTAATCATCAACAATGAATGATAAAAAATATTTAATGCTGGTAAGGACAAACAACAGAAAAATCACTTTTGTTACGTTATCCTCTTGGGGAGCAGGAGTCATACTACAGCATGTAGACTGTCTGCTTTGCACACAACCAACCCAAGATGAATCCCCAAATCCCTTATGGTCCCCCCTTATGGTCTGCCAGGAGTGATCCCTGTACACACAGAGTCAGGAGTGAGCCCTGACCACTTCAAGGTGAGGCCCAAAGATACACACACACACACACACACACACACACACACACACACACACACACACACACAGAGTTGTCAGCAGGAACCTCCAGGCTAGGAGAATGAAAGAAAATAGTCATAATTTAACACAAGGATTATGGAGAAGAAAACCTTTCTCAAATACAAGTGAGTGAAATTTGTCATCAACAAATCTTCAGTACTAATTACAAGAAATGCTGAAAGGAAATTTTAAAAGATTTAAATGCTGAAAGGAGGCTTCATGGGAAGAAAAAACAACACTATGACTTGAGCATGGAAACAAACAGCAATTCATAAATAACCTTCAGAAGCAAAAATGCAAGAATATGAGTTAGCAACAAAACTTCAAGGAGTATAAGATAATGTACTTAGTCTAAATACGACCCTCCATACCAGCAGAAAAAGATACAGGATACAGGAAGACTGATACGATCCTTAGGAAAAACTCAAACAAAAATCTGGAACAGAGACACTTACAAAAATAATGATGAGAAGAAGCGGCGGCTGCGGCACATAAAGGGGCCGCCGCCAGGTGATGCGGTGACCACTGCAAGCTCAGGAGCCGAGCAGGCCCCAGCCCTCCATCAGTCCCGTCAGAGCCGCGCTCCAGAACTCTCCCATCTTCTCTGGCCGACCCGCGATCGCCATGAGTAGGCCTCGCACCCCCTTGCCCCTTCCCCATCCCTTCACTGCCCCCTACCCCGCCCGGGGGCTGCTGCCACCCGCCTCCCACGAAGGCTCTGAAGAGAATCCATAACAAATTGAATGATCTGGCACGGGACCCCCCAGCACAGAGTTCAGCAGGTCCTGTTGAAGATGATACGTTCCATTGGCAGGCTACAATAATGGGGCCAAATGACAGTCCCTATCAGGGTGGAGTATTTTTCTTGACAATTCATTTCCCAACAGATTACCCCTTCAAACCACCTAAGGTCGCATTTACAACAAGAATCTATCATCCAAATATTAACAGTAATGGCAGCATTTGTCTTGATATTCTACGATCACAGTGGTTTCCAGCACTATTTCAAAAGTATTCTTGTCCATCTGTTCTCTGTTGTGTGATCCCAAACCAGATGATCCTTTAATTGAGATTGCTCGGATCTACAAAACAGATAGAGAAAAGTACAACAGAATAGCTCGGAAATGGACTCACAAGTATGCAATGCAATTAAAGAAATTATTGGATAACCTCTACAAATAAAAGATAGGGGAACTCTGAAAGACAAAGTCCTTTTGATTTCCATTTGGCTGCTTTCTATGAGCCCACGCCTCATCTTCCCCCGTGCACATGTTTACCTGATACAGCAGTGCTGCGTGTTGTACAAACTCGGAACAACAAACTAGAACTACTGTATACTTCTGTACGAACATTGCCTCCTGCCAGAGAAATCTGTGTGTGACAAGCCAGTTCTCCAAACCTAACTTAGGTGTGAGGTTAAAAGCGTTCCTTAATGATTTAAGCTTGGAAAATGACAAGGTAAGGGGTGGTGGGGATGGTGTGTGCTCAAATTGGGAAAAAAAGCTCCACTGACTGGGTGGAGAAGACGGTGATGCTTATACTCAGTGGAATACTACTCTGCTGTTGGAATGATGACATTGTATCGTCTGGGATAAAATAGATGAAATGAGGTGATTCTGCTAATTAAAAGCAGGAAGGAAGTGAAAGATTATCACAGGGTTTCACCACATGTGGTTTATAAATATCTAAAGCCAACCAACTGGCAAAACATAATAGAATTAAGTCCTAGACTTACCGAAACCCATGCTGGTTACGAGAGGGAAAGGGATGTCATGGTGGAAGGAACACATGGACGAGTAATGTTTGGGTGGTACCTGTGATCAGTTTCATCTACAGACTTGGAATGCCTGTCCCTTAGTCAGCATTTACTACTAAGCACTGTGTGATCCATGGGCTCAGGGGTGGGAAAATAATTTCATGCTCCTTTTATTGTGCTCAGCTGTGAACATCATCACTCAGGTCCTTCCTGCTGACTCCAGGAGAGAAATACTGCCTGGGATGACAATAGAAGCAGTTCCTGTTGCCTCTGTATAAATCATCTTGAGCTGCGGCTTCTTAACTGACATCAATTTAATGATTTTTATGCAGGTTCTCAGAAACAGAAACAGCTTGTCATTGGCGGAGAAGCCTGTCTATGGGCAGAATTTGTGGATGGAACTAACCTTACGCCAAGATTATGGTATGTGTTCGATAGTAATTGAACTTAAATGTCTTGATTTTTCTTTGCTTTTTTTGTTTTGTTTTGTTTTGTTTTGGTGCTACATCTGGTGGTGCTAAGGGCTAACTCCTGGCTCTGCGCTCAGGAATCATTCCTGATAGATTCTGGGGAACCATTGGGGTACAAGGGATCAAACCCAGGTTGAATGCATGGGAGGCAAATGCTATACCCACTGTACTATCTCTCTGGCCCAAACTTTCCTTTTCTTTTTTTCTGGTTTTTGGGGATTTTTTTCTATTCAAGTAGGAAAGTACCAGAATTTGCCTCGGGCATATGACTTACATACTTCTCTAAGAAAACATTCCAACTTGTTTGGGAATGTGTGGTTTTGATTTTAGGCCTCGGGCAAGTGCAGTTGGTGAGAGACTCTGGAGTCACGAAAAGGTCCGTGATCTGGAGGATGCCTATGAGAGACTGACAGTTCACCGCTGCAGGATGGTCAGGTAGGAAAACATGGATATTTCAAGCTAAAACACTATGAAATTGAAGCTGCTTCTTCTTTAGTATTGGCAAGTTTCTTGGACCTTTTTTAAATTTTACTACCTATAGAAAGTATGTCACCTAAGAAATAGTGATTTGAATGTTTAAAATTGAAAAGCGTCTTTTTTTTTTTGGTAGATCTAAAATATCTGTGATGTATTTGTAATCATACCAAAGTTAATACATTAATATCATTCATTCTTATACAATATGTTTATAATATCTTCCTGATTTTTTCTGATTAGCACTATGATTTAGTGAGTCTGAAATATTTTAACATGGAGATGAGTTTTATCAACCTAAAACATCTTTTATTCCCACTGGTTTCTCTTATTCCTTCAGACGGGGAATCGCTGCACAGCCTCTTTTTGTTGGATATTGTGACCATCAGCTCAGTGTGTAAAAATGAGAGGAATCCAAAAGAAAATAATGTGAAAAACTACCCACAGCAGTCTCTATTGCAATGGATGTCATTTTGAAATCATGTTAACTGCTTTTGAATAAAAGCTTATTGATTAAATCCTTTTGTCCATTTCACATGTAGTCTTTCTTAGTAACTTTTTCATAATGTTTTGATACCAAACAGAAGGCTAGGTATATATAATTAACAAAACCAAATATGTAGAAACACAATGTACTTCAAGTAAAAACACTTTCAACACTGCTACATAAAGTAGAATGGACGGTCTCAGTGCCAAAGTCAGTTTTCAAGTTATATGTTCTATCTGTTTCTTTGGATGGACTGAATAATGTATTTCTTTGTCCAACAATAAATAAAGATTGTTCCTATTCAAAATGAAAAACGCAGGTACTCCTGAATTTCTCTTCATTCTCAAGGACCTGGGATTTTAACTGAAGCCGCTTCTCTGGTTGAGCAGAGCCCTTTGCTCTTGAGGGTTTATGGCTTGATAATTAGACAGTTCTGAGGCAAAAGTAGCTGAGCCTGAGGTTAGTGTTCGGAGCACAGTTGAATAATCCTAATAAAAATACATCTGTTAGCCCATCAGATACTTGGCCAGATTTCTCATTATACAGTTTATCTTTGACTTATCAGGAAAGATGATATCCCATAACCATATTACTGCTTTCCAGCCCAGCACTTAACCATGTTTCCAAGGAGCAGTGGTCATACAGTGTGGAGTGTAGGAAGTGGCCGTGTGGGCGTGCCTTGGGGTGTTGATTCCGCACCTCTGCTCAGTGCTGCTCTGCGGCCGAACAGGCTGCTGGGAAGACCCACCCGGACCCCAGGGACATCAGTAGGAGTAGGAGAGATGCTTGGAAGCAAAGGGTGGTCACTTAGCTGGCGCCACATTTCAGCACAGCACAAGTCATGCTTTATGGAGGACCAGAAACCAGCCCCCGCACCATTCCACCCCTGCCTGTTTCCCACATTTAAAGCCCTAAGTCCTGACTGTTCCTGTAGCGGAAACATACTGTAAAATCTAAACAAATCACTGCTACTTCTCTGAATCGTTGCTGTTTTCTTGGTAAATACACCTCTGGTAGTAGCACTGAACATGTTTGAGTCCCAGGTACTTCCCATAATTTCTGCTAAGAAAACAAATCCAGTCACAGCTTTATAGCCCTGAGACATGTCTGGAAGAAAAGTATACTGCCTATGGGTACTGGTGTAGGCAGTATAGAGGTCAATATGGAAATTCCTCAAAAAATTCAAATTAAAACTCAGCTGTATATAAAAAGGTAAAACCCTGTATTTGCAATACCTGGGTGGACTAAAAAAGTGTTACTCTCATTAGTTGAAGAATCAGAATTGCTAAAATTCTTGCTTCCTGTCTCTTGCAGGCTACAGAGTCAGTGCAGGACGGCTGGAGAGATAGTACAGCAAGTAGAGAGCTGCCTTGCTTTGATTCCCCACATCCTATATGGTCCACGAGCTTCCCAGGTGTGATCCCTGCAGAGTTAGGAGTAACCCCTGTGCATCATTGTTTATGGCCTGCCTAAGAAAAAATAATGTTAAAATATATATATTTAATTTGTATATATATATATATTTTTTTTTATAAAGAGCACAGGAGGCATGGTGCCTCAGCAGCCCTTGAACATGCCAGAGAGAACAAGAGAAAACAGTGAGAGGGAATCTAATAAAGCAACAGGAAGATCTAAGAGTATGCTGATGAGAGGAGCAAGCAGTTTATTCCTCCGAGGAGCAGGATCCCCGCTTTCTACTTTGGTCAGGGTTCTTTAGCTTTTCTTGGGAATCGGACACTCACAATTCCTCTCCCTGAATGGAAGCCAGAGGGCTCGTGCAGTCACAGATTCTGCCTAAAAATGGGAGGTCAAATGCTGCTCACATGAACTCTTATGCCCATGCTGGACCTCTGCTCCATCCCAACCCCACCTGGCCCCCAAATCACATAGGATACAAGGAGTACAGTCAGGTTGAAAAGGACCTTTTCATATTTGGCCTATACTGTCTTTAGGGCTCCCCACTAAGATTGCTGCTTTCTAAGTCCTGCCTCATTATCATTAGAGAAATGATAATCACAAACACCTGAAATTTCACTCAAGCAGTAGATACAGAAACAAAACAAATGAACTAAATAAATTTATGAAAATTATGGGCTGGAGCGATAGTATAGTGCATAAGTTGCTTGTTTTGCTTGTGGCTAACCCAGATTCAATCCCTGGCATATCATATGTTCTCCAAGCACTGCCAGGATTGATTCCTGAGTGCAGAGTCAGGAGCAATTCCTGAGCATCGCTGGGTATGCCCCCCCCTCAAAAAAAAAAACTATGAAAATGTATACCTTGATAAAATATTAATGGTTGTCAGAAGGGAAGAGGACTGGGTAATTTAGTCAAAAGTTGTTAATTTTATGATGGTGGAAATTAGATTGTTTCAGGCAACTAAAATAAGTGTAGACACATGCTGATTTTAAGGGACAGACACATGTGAAACCTCTGTTACAAACTCACGTTACTTCAACTCTACAAGTATGTATAGACTGAGGCCTGCCACAATTATACATTAAATTGAAGATATTATTTTCTTGAATAGGGCTGAGCTTCCGAAGCCCAGATACTGAAACACAGTGAGATACTGTGGGTTAATTGTCTGCGAAAGAGTCAAATACTCTTTTCTCAGTGTGCCCAAAGGCCTCTTCTGAGAGGTGCCACCTTGGAAGGAGGAGCAAAAGGTCAAGTCACTGCCCACTGCCTGGAAGACACTGTTAGCGTTACTTGTAACAGCTTATTTTATGCAGGTTATTTTCAGTGAGCTGGAGCGATAGCACAGTGGGTAGGGCGTTCGCCTTACAAGCGGCCAACATGGCCGACCCGAGTTCGATTCCTCCGCCCCTCTCGGAGAGCCCGGCAAGCTACCGAGAGTATTCGATATGCCAAACACAGTAACAACAAAGTCTCCAATGGAGACGTTACTGGGCCCGCTCGAGCAAATCGACGATCAACGGGAGGGCCTTTATTTTCAGTGAAGAGCAGTGAAGGCCTTAGAGGCCAAGAAGCAGCTCCTGCCTCATTTCAGTGCTTCACCCTTAACCTTTTTGAAAAAAAAATAAACAAATACACTGTTTCCCCATTTATGAATGAACTAGAAAAGAATGTAGTTTGGGGGTTATTATCCAGGTGCTAGTTTATCTGTGATCACAACCTGTCTAGGAATTTCAGCTTTTTACTCTCAGAGAAGATGAGGTTATTCTACATGGAAGTGGAATCTACCTGGCTTTGCCTGGATGCCTCCAGTCCCTGGTGCTTGATAAATAGCCAAGCTCTATCCTTTTTCCCCTTAACAATTGCAGCCCTGTGAAATCTCCAGCTCATATGCTGTACTTTTCTACTTTTTCCTGCTACTATGTCTCATGATCATTAGTCTATCCAGTCTCACTGGAAATAGGGTGCAGATATATTTTTTTACACTTGGAGAGAAAATTTTAACAGTATTTAGCAATCTTTTTTTTTTTTGCTTTTTTGGGGTCACACCCGGCGATGCTCAGGGGTTACTCCTGGCTCTGCACTCAGGAATCACTCCTGGTGGTGCTCAGGGGATCATATGGGAAGCCAGTGATGGAACCCAGTTTGGTTGTGTGCAAGGCAAACGCCCTCTCCACTGTGCTATCACTCCGGCCCCAGTATTCAGCATTCTTAATCACTAAATTGTCTCAGAAGGAATAGTACAGCTGTTCATTCATAAACTAACTCATTAATAAGTTCCATAGTCTGTGTCGTTTTTTATTATATTTTTCAGTAGTCAAGGTTTCAATTTTTTTAATTTGACTTGGGCATTTTTAACCCCTGAACACAGGTACACAACCTCTTTATACTTTGTACCTATTAACTTGGCCTACCTCTCCTGAGTCAAGATACTCCGTTCTCCGAGAGAACGTCTGATGCCTAAGTTCTAACCCCTGCCCTCTGAAAACTCTACCTCAGGGAATTCTGATGGGAGGGCCTCACTGATTAAGAGGAAAAGTCGCTATATCCAAGAACAGACTTAAGAATCAATAAGCGAATGACGCATCAGCTATCAGAAGCTTGGGGGTCGAGAGAAACGGGGTAATCTCAGTCTTTGTTCTGAGGGTTGGCAGAAATGGGGTGACCCTAGACTTTGTTCTGTTTTTTCATTAAGGCAGAAGCCAAGGGTGAGCCCAGTGGGGCAGCTGAAGAAGCTGATAGGGGCCGCCTCCCTAGCCTGGTGGGCCCCTACAGCAAACGTACTGTTGCCTTCTGCTCCTGCAAGAAGAGGGCTCTGCAGGCTGAGTCCGGCTCTGCGGGAGGGGCGGAGCCTGCGCCAGGAGGCGGTCCCAGCGGGAGGGGGCGGGGCGGAGTCTAAGCCGGAGGCGGTCCCAGCCGCGGAACAATGAGCGGGGCCTGTTCCAGGGCGGGTCCAATTCGTCGGAAGCCGGGCGGGGCCCGAGCCATACGCAATCCCAGAAGGAGGAGGCAGGGCGGGGACTTCGCCAGAGGGGCGGTCCCGTGGGGAGGCGGAGCGGGGCCTTCGCCCGGGGTCGGGGCCTCTGAAAGAGTGGGGCGGGGCCTTCGCCAGGGGGGGCGGTCCCGCGGGAGGCGAGGGCGGGGCGGGGCCTTCGCCCGGGGGGCGGTCCCGCGGGAAGAGAGGGGCGGGGCCTTCGCCAGGGGGACGGTCCTGCGGGAAGAGCGAGGCGAGGCCTGCCCCTGGGAGCGGTCCCAGTGGCAGGCTGCGCCGTCCTCTGATTGGGTAACTCGGGTACCCTCAATTCCTCTGGTGCTCCGGGTGCCACGCCAGCTCCATTCATATCTACTTGCTGGGCAAGAGCGGGCGAACGGGCATGGAGCTGCACGAGCTGGCGCTGCCCTGGATGCTCTTACCGCTGCTGGCGACACAGGCCAGTGTCGAAACGGTACCGAGACTTTGGCCCCTGCCGCGTTCAGTGGAGATATACTCACGGCAGCTGCACCTGTCCCGCCAAGAGTTCAGGATCAACTACGGCAGCTCTTCCAAAATTGGCCCTTCGTGCATTATTCTGCAAGAAGCCTTTAGGCGGTGAGCGCACCCCAGGGAACCTGAGCCT